CCACTGGGACTCTGGTTCTGGAACATCTATAGTCCTGCCAGACAACAGATGTTGCTAGTCCAGGGAGTCCCAGATTATAGAGGTTCAACCTGTAGTACTGTTCATGTGACTGATTCTTTCTGGGAATCCTACTTTTTAAATACACTTCAGTTACAATACAGGAAAAAATGATCATGTAAACACATGGGAATTTGGAAATGCTCTCATTTCTTGCTAATGTTCTTGGATAGTTTAAAGCAAAATAGCTTATTGTTCCTAATGTTCTCAATCCTGCTGCTGATACCATTCTCAGTATATTTTAGCTCAATGTCTTAGCCAAGACATTGGAGGGGAAGGCTGAGTATCTTAAGCATCAAGTTTGAGACCTGGATGATCCTTTGCCATTCTTCCTTCCAAATAAGATATAGTAAATTGAGATTAATGCAGTTTGTACTTGTAGTTGACTCTAGTGGATAGAAATTGGGTTGAGATCGAAAGAAAGTAATAATTTAAAATGAAGTCATGTCTAGTTTGTGTGGACTTGAGCTTCCATGGACCTCTCGAGTGGAGGTTAGCTTCGGAATCTGTGACCAAAACCCTTCATTAGGGATGTGAAAGACTAGTCAACTAGTTGACTATCTGATAAGCAAAAGCTTATCCAATAGTCAATTCACTAGTCGACTAGTTGCTTCCCCCCTCTTGCTGCTTCTATCAGAAAGAGGCAGCGGGGAAGGAGGAAGAGAAGGGGAGGCTTCAGAGCAGCAGTGCTGCATGGAGCCAGGGTCAGCTAGGGACTCGCCACTGACTCCAGCTTCCATGTGACTCTTCCTCTTTGAAACACTGTGTGGAGCTCCCCGTGGCGTTTCAAAGTGTCAGCGCTGCAAGGAGCCCCATGCAGCATGCAGCAGTGCCGCATGGAGCCAGTGCTCAGGACTCCCCAGCTGGCCCCCGTCTTCGTGCCACGTTTCAAAGCAACAACGCCATAGGGAGCAAGGGGACAGCAGGGGTCTCAATCAGTCCTCCACTGGCCCAGTGCTCCCCGCATTGCTTTTGCCTTTGAAGTGTAGCAACAGCCCTGGGGCTGTTGGCTACGCTTCAAAGGCGAGGTTCCCTTATCAACTAATGGAATAGTCAATGCAAATTGTATTGAGTATTCGATTAGCCTATTAATCTAAATTTAACATCCCTCCTTTAAATATGCCCCTCTGTTGTGCAAAGCATTATGATTTGGCTTTCTGCTGGGCTACAGCCCTCCATCCCCACAATAACTGGATTTCATTGGCAGTGAGCTTGTAAGTGCTTTGGATACTTTTGAGAGAAAAGACAGCGAGTAATTTAAAATATACTTTAAGGTGTATTGTTGCACACCCAATCTTCAATGAGCAAGTCTGTAGAAGTAAATTTATACTGGGAAGGTGTTATTGATCTTCAGAGTTTTAACAGTTTTTTTTAAAACTAAAGATATGATTTAAAACCAGAAAATCAAGAAAACTCTCAAACTTGACCAAAAAATTCTAGTATTTATGGGCAAAGGATGCAGATTGGATAATGTTAATGATGGGATAGGTATGGCCAGATACTATTGGAGAACTGAATTTTAACTGTGAATTTCTGTGCTTTTGTGAGTTAAAGTAAAAGCTTTAACATTCAATACAACTCTTGGTGTGAAAAACACAAAGTATAGCAATTTGTATCCAGCAAGCAAGGCAGAGAAGAAGACTACCAAACTAAAAACCTATTTCATTCACAAATCATAGAAATGAAAGCTAGAATGAACCATGCGAATTCATTAAGTCCATCCCACTGTGCTGGGGCAGAGCCAAATATACCTAGACTATCCTTTATTATTGTTGCGTCCAAACTGTTCTTAAAAACCATCATTGATGGGGATTTCATGACCTCCCTTGGAAGCCTATTCCAGGGCTTGACTAGCTTTAAAGATTTTCTTAATAGCTAAGGTAAGTCTCCCCTGTGCAGGTTAAACACATTCTTCTTGTCCTGCCATCAGTAGACATGGAAAATGATTGTCATCCTGCTCACTATAGCCATTAACAAGCACATATTTGAAAACTTACCAGGTTCTTCCCTCAGACTCATTTTCTCAAGGCTACGTGGCCTTTTCTTAACCTTTCCTGGTAGGTCACATTTTCTAAACTTTTTATCATTTTTGTTGCTCTTCTCTGGACTCTCACTAATTTGTTTACATCTTTCCTAAAGTGCACCCCAGAATTGGCCACAGTACTCCATTTGAGACCTCACTAGTGCTAATGAGAGTGGAGCAATTACCAGCTGTTTCTTGCATATGACACTCAAGTTAATTAACCCAAAAATGATGTCAGCCTCTTTTTTTTTTACAACTGCAGCACATAATTGACTCGGATTCAATTTGAGATGCACTGTAACCCCACAGATCCTTTTCAGCAATACCAGTTATTCCACGCTTTGTAGTTGTGCATTTGATTCTTCCTTCCATCCTATTAAAGTATTTCGCACTTGTCTATTGAATTTCATCTTGTTAATGTCATACCAGTTCTGCAATTAGTCACAGTAGTTTTAAATTCTAATTCTGTGATCCAAAATGCTTGGCAACTCTTCCTGCTTGGTATCACCAACATATTTTATTATCCACTTCATTATCCACGTCATTAATGAAAACACTGAATATTATTGACCTTATTGCTTCCCACTGGATTAGGGATGTAATAGTATAGTCGATTAACTGATTAACCAATAAGCAAAAGCTTATAGGTTTAATGCTATAGACTACATGCATTTCTCCCCCACCCCTTACCAGTAAATTTTTTAGCAGGCTGGCCAGCAACCCAGCTCAGTCCCAGCTTACACTGGGTCCTGGACCAACCTCCGCTGTGGCTCTGCTTTTAAAGTGTATTAGGAGCCAGGTGGGCAGGCAAGCTCAGACCTCTCGAACCCGGACAGGGGCTGCCCGGGGACTATAGAATAATCGACTACCTGATAGGAATTAACGAGGTTAATTGACTATTCAGTTAACTGATATTTAACATCCCTGCAGTGGATAAGGCCTCCCAGTTTGACAGTGAACCATTGATAATTATTCTTTGGTTGTGTTCTTTCAACCACATTTGCATCCACTGTAGGAGCAAGAGAAAGCTTGGACCACTTGGTCTGGTGCAAAATCTCTGAACCAGAAGTTATGAACCAAAATTAGGCCATGTTTTAAAGTAGATGTTTACAAGTTCACTGTCCAAAATATAACCTTGGCACAAGTAC